GGACATAAAAAAGTGGTATCGTGCCATCTCTACTTTAAAGACAGCATGTAGGCTACACATTTGATAAATAATTAATAATTAGTTGCACAACCATTGTTCATTTTCATAGTGAAAATAATGTATTTTTGTTAAAGCCACTCAAAATGGGTAAAAGAGCTGAATGTTGTTGGAAACCTGTTGGTGACATGTATCACAAAACTATTTTCTGGATTTTTTACTGAACATACAAGAGCCAGTAATCGCACTGACTGTAAGAGTTTCAATAGAGCATTATAATAAACCCAAGTGGGGACTGTCCCTTGAGAGGATCGTTGACCCACTATTGATCATGTGCCTCATCACATGAGGATAGGTGTGAAAAGGGGTGTGGGTCATTATCAGCAGAGGTTTCAGGTGAAACCACTGCCTTGCCTCACCCTATCATATGCCCTTGAGATCACCTAATGCAAGATGTGAGTGGACATTAGGGTGGCTGGGAAAAGATCTCAAAATTGCATTGTAGTGACAGACAGTTGTTGTCTGTTCAAAAATGGGAATTCACACTGGACATAAATGGCTTACTTTACTCCTCTTTCAAACCATTTGTCTTTTCTGCCCAAAATCTGAACATTGGCATCCTTGAAAAATTGAGTTTTATTGTTTAAATGCAGATGGACAGTTGAGTCATGTCCTGTCGAGGTGGCTCTTTTATGCTGTGCCATGTATTTACAGTGTGGCTCATTGGTTTTTGCAATATAGAGGTCTGAGCTCTACTTGCTGCACTTCAACGCAGACACTGTGTTGTTTAGCTTGTGTTTGGGAGTTTTGTCCTTGGGATGAACCAATTTTTGTCTGAGGCTGTCACTGGGTGGGAAGTGCACAGGGATGTCATGCTTTAAGAAAATTCTCCTGAGTTTATCTGCTAAGCAAGACATGGCAATGTTGTTCTGTTTGGCTTTCTGTTTCTCGCTAGTTGGTGTCTGACCTTCTTTTCTATTCATCTTTGTTGATTTGATGAAAGCCCAATTGGGATAACCACATGTTTTAAGAGCTTTCATTAAATGTGTGTGTTACTCCCACTATTTGTTGTGTTGCTGGAGGGGGAATCCTGCAGCTTGGTGGTCTTGCCTGTTGTATTGAGGCGTCTTCCAGACAGGAGCAGCACACTGATAGCGGGCTGACTTACTGTCACATTATCTCTATATGGGATTTTCTTTGGGCCTGTCTGCTCCTCTTAAAGCACCATTGTCCACTCTGAAGGTCACCATATCATCTGAAGGTCTTCTACAAGATGTGACTACAGCACTATAAACAATCTCTACTGCGATCATCACCGAAACCAAGCAGGTGATCTACAACTCGGCATCAGTGATGACTGAGATGCTTGACTATAAGACAAACGAACACAAGGTAAATGGACTGATAGCGCCTTTCTTCTCTCATGGAGTACTCCAAGCACTGTATACAACATGCCTCATTCACCCAAGCACTTTCTTCTATACACAAGTGCAATCTAAGCAACATTCACACACATTCATTCATGCTCCAATGGAGCTAACTTGGGGTTAGTATCTTTCCCAAGGACATTTGGCATAAAGACTGGGGGAAGCCAAGGATCAAACCACCAACCTTCCAGTCAGTAGCTGATCTGCTCTACCACCTGAGCCACAGCCACAATGTCATGTAAGGAATTGTGTGATGTAATACAAGTAGGCAAAAACAAGGTGATTGATGATATCCCGAAGGGCGTCATTGACAAGTGCCTGGAAGGCAGAAAGAATGTTAGTCAGTGAGTCTGTTATGTATTTCTCCATGTCTTCTTTTTCCAGTTTGGATAAACTATATAAACTGCTAGTGGGCAAAGGTCCACTAGGATAAAGGTTGATAGCAAATTGATAGTTGATAGTAAATTATGTGAGGAGGAAGAGAAAGAGAGACAGGGCTTTTTAAGTACTTAATCTAAACAAGATACACGGGGTACTGAAGCTAGATCAGGCAAGACACTTCACCCGTTGCCCACGTTCTGTGTTAATGACTGTTTCTACTCTGTTGTTTCCAAGCCTGGTATTTTGAAGTTAGAGAATGGAAATGTTTGGGACTCTTTTTCACCTGCACTAATTCATTCAGGGGAAGCTGAAAACCTCACCGAAACAGTTTTTCCTGATCATGTTCTCCCATCCACACGTTCACCACAGTCTAACGTTGGGTCTGCAATACAGTTAGCAGTTCAGTCAGCAGCCCAGCTGCCCGCAGTTCAGTCAGCCACTCCACCACCTGTTACACCTCC